TTATTTATACACCCTATTTTTTATTTAAACACTTTATGCCAGATATTTATTACATATTCAAACATTTATTTCACTAAGATTTATTACGCTTTTTGAAAATCTAATATTCTGTTTATTACTTACTTTATTACAAAAATCGTTATGAACACTACAAAAAACAAAATTCTACAGTGGAACTGTAATGGTTTATTAAACAATCTTAGCGAATTGCAAATTATGAGAAACGAACATTTACCATTTATTATAGCACTCCAGGAAACTTATTTAAAACCAATGGAATCATTCCGCCTGAGAGGCTACCAATGTTTCCGTAAAGACGTTTTTCCGATCCATAGAGCAAGAGGAGTAGCAACCTTCATCCGTAGTAGTTTTCCTGCAAAAGAAATTAGGTTAACAACAGACCTTCAGGCCAATGCTGTTCAAATAGAATCACCATTAAAACTAACTATATGTAACATATACTTACCCGACAATAACTGGCAAACTCACAACATTCTGGATATCACCAATCAGTTACCCAGACCCTTTATTATCTTAGGTGATTTTAATGCTCACTCTCCTGCATGGGGATCTCCTAATTTGGATTCCCGAGGTCGCCGTGTTGAATCTGTAATTCAAGATACAAATTTAATAATATTAAATAACGGAAAACCGACATATTTCAATACAAGATCTGGCCACTCGTCAATTGACCTTAGTATCTGCTCTCCCCAACTGTTTCCCAAATTGTCATGGGACACACTAGAAGACCTTCATTCAAGTGACCACTTTCCTATAATCATACTTATCGACTCTTCATGTAAACAGTTTTTAATTAAAGAAAAATGGTTATCAAAAAGGCTGACTGGTACAAATTCACGAATTTAGTAAAAATCCCGGAAAGTTCTCTAGATATCGAACAAGATGTGAATGCGTATACCAAGGCAATTATTGATGCTGCAAAAGTTTCCATTCCAATGACGAAATCCTCAAAATCACATCGTCCTCTTCCCTGGTGGAACGATAACATCAAAAGAGCTATTGAAAAAAGAAATAAAGCCTACAACAGATTTAAACGATTTCCTACCCAAGATAATCTAATCGACTTCAAAAAATCCAGGGCCGTTGCAAAAAGGCAGATCAACTCGGCAAAAAAAGCATCTTGGGAAGAGTTTGTCTCCACTATTACTCCCGACGTGGGACTCGATACTATCTGGAGAAAGATCAAAATCATAACAGGTAAAAATACGTACGTCGTCCCTGAATCACTGATCCTGAATAATCATATAATAACGGACATCTTTGAAATCAGTGAAATATTCGCAAATCACTTTAAAATGAGCAGCAATTCTAGTATCTACGAGGACAACTTTTTAAATAATAAAATACACGAGGAAAGTAATCCTCTTGATTTCTCTACCAACAGAAACGATAACTACAATCTACCGTTTACCATTGATGAACTAGAATTTGCCCTTAGTAAATGCTCAGAGTCCGCCGCAGGTCATGATAACGTATTATATGGTATGTTAAAACATCTTTCAATCGTCGAAAAATCTAAAATACTCTCCCTTTTCAACAGAATATGGGATTTCGGTAGTTTTCCTAGCCAATGGAAGACTGCCGCGATTATTCCTATTCTAAAACCGGAAAAATCTCCCTCAGACCCCAACAACTACCGACCAATATCGCTGACAAGCTGTCTTGGTAAAACACTGGAAAAAATGATTAACCTTCGTCTCACCTGGTGGCTGGAAGCAAATTCTCTTCTATCATCAGCTCAGGTCGGTTGCCGTAGAAATGTTTCAACAGTTGATGCTCTTGTACATCTCGAAAGTGAAATACAAGATGCATTTTATAAAAGAGAACACTTGGTAGCTGTATGTTTTGATATGCATAAAGCTTATGATAGAACATGGCGTCACTCCATCCTAAAACAATTACACAATTGGGGCCTCAGAGGTAAGTTACCAACACTACTTGAGAATTTTTTAAAGGATAGGTTTTTTCATGTAAGAATAGGATCCGTAGAATCCTCCACCAGACCACTTGAGAATGGAATCCCACAAGGTTCGGTCCTGAGCGTGTCGTTATTTGCGATAGCTATTAATTTTCTCCTTGAAATAGGACACAGAGAAGTCAGTAAAATCCTTTATGTTGACGATCTAATCATTTCATTCAAAGATAGATCAATGGAAACTATCAATCATCAACTTAACAACGAAATAAGTATTTTAACTGAGTCAGCAAACCTACGAGGTTTTCTTTTTTCAAAGGAGAAAACAAAATGCATTAATTTCTGCAGACTCAGAACAGACCATCCAGAACCCGAACTTCGAATGCAGGATCACAATATCACAGTGAAAGATTTTGTATTGATTTTGGGAATGATTTTTGACAAAAAATTGTATTGGGCAGAACATATCACTCAACTTAGAGCAAGATGCCAAAAAGCCCTTAATGTCATGAAGTGCTTGGCTAGCCTACGATGGGGAGCTGACAGGGAGACCCTGCTAAATATTTACCAATCTTTAGTCCAATCTAGACTTGACTACGGAAATATAGTATATGGAACTGCTAGACCATCTCGTTTAAGGGTCCTGGACACAATCCAAAACTCAGCGATTAGACTCCTAAGTGAGGCATCCATCATGCCACTTACACTTCGTAGAGAAATGCAGACAATTACATTTGCTGTCAAAGTCCAAACTTTAGGAAATAGTTTAAACTATGAGACCTTCAGTAGCACTGAAAATACCTACTGCCAGCGACCTACTGTTTCGCGTCCCTCTAGTATTCGTTTTATAGAACTGTCCGATAAATATAATACTCCAAAAAAAGCAAACATTATTCCCAATAACTACCAAATTGCTCCATGGATAAGAAAAACTCCGCAAGTAAATCTTGCACTAACCAAATGGAAGAAGGAAAATACATCCCCATCTATCTACCGTAACCTATTCCAAGAAGAATTATCCAAGTATAATCAGTACCTTATAATATATACAGATGGATCTAAAACCATTGACGGCATAGGAGCAGCGATTGTTACTAATAACAACCCATACTTATGGTCAATGAACCCATATAGCAGCATTTTTAGTGCAGAATTATATGCCATATGGCAAGCGTTACTATTTTTCATGTTTGAGACAAATAACAAATGCTTAATTTGCACGGACTCGTTAAGTGCCGCCCTTTCTTTAAATAATCGCTTTTCATCGAGTGCGTGGGTAAAGAAAATACAAGAAATGGTTACATACCTTGATTCCATTGGGAAATCCACAACAATCATCTGGATCCCTGGTCACTGCAATATTCAAGGCAATGAGTTAGCCGACTCCGCTGCTAAGAAAGCAACGCAAAATACGGTAGACGAAGGAATTCCAGTTTCTCTATGTGACCTAAAAATATACATAAAAGAAAAAGTTAATAATATGTGGCAAATGCAATGGGACAACTATGATACGCAACTAAAAACAATCGAATCAACTAATATTAAATGGGACTATCCTACTAACCTCACTCGAAGAGAAAAAACTGTTCTGTGCAGAATGAGGATAGGACATACAAATATTACGCACAATCACCTACTAACCGGAGACCAGAGACCAAGATGCGAAACTTGCCACGGTCGCCTTACTATACTACATCTGCTGTCATGTCCGCAGTATTAACAACAACGTCATCTTCTAAATATCCAACCTGAAATAGAAAGAGCACTGGATAATCAAGAAACAAATATTAAAAATTTATTAACTTACCTAAAAGTAACCAACCTTTTTCTAAAAATATAAAAAAATCCTAAGAACCCAATTCTTAAGTTAAAATTTAATTCCCTGACAATGTAAATACCAAAATGGACTAAAAGTATGTTACATAAACTTTCCACTACAGAGCTAATGGCCATAGCAGTCGAAGCTCTATAAATAATAATAATAATAATAATAATAATAATAATAATAATAATAATAATAATAATAATAATAATAATAATAATAATAATAATAATAATAATAATAATAATAATAATAATAATAATAATAATAATAATAATAATAATAATAATAATAATAATAATAATAATAATAATAATAATAATAATAATAATAATAATAATAATAATAATAATAATAATAATAATAATAATAATAATAATAATAATAATAATAATAATAATAATAATAATAATAATAATAATAATAATAATAATAATAATAATAATAATAATAATAATAATAATAATAATAATAATAATAATAATAATAATAATAATAATAATAATAATAATAATAATAATAATAATAATAATAATAATAATAATAATAATAATAATAATAATAATAATAATAATAATAATAATAATAATAATAATAATAATAATAATAATAATAATAATAATAATAATAATAATAATAATAATAATAATAATAATAATAATAATAATAATAATAATAATAATAATAATAATAATAATAATAATAATAATAATAATAATAATAATAATAATAATAATAATAATAATAATAATAATAATAATAATAATAATAATAATAATAATAATAATAATAATAATAATAATAATAATAATAATAATAATAATAATAATAATAATAATAATAATAATAATAATAATAATAATAATAATAATAATAATAATAATAATAATAATAATAATAATAATAATAATAATAATAATAATAATAATAATAATAATAATAATAATAATAATAATAATATTAATAATAATAATAATAATAATAATAATAATAATAATAATAATTATAATAAATACCCGTGTGGAGATCGGGCCGACTATGAAGAATAACTCCACGGAATCTCCTGCCTGTCGTAAAAGGCGACTTACTGAAGCAGCTGCCCGCTGTCCTCTGACCACTCCCTTACTATTACAATCCAAATTACTCCTTACCCTTCCTTTTTCCCTGAAAGATATCCCTTATCCTATAGCTGGCTATATAATATTAAAGCCAGGATAAAGAAAAAAGAATATTAAATTGTCCATGATGTCAAGTATAAAACGAAATGGAAAAGTACCCCAGGCAGGTAGAACCAGTGGTTCACAATCCTGTGCTGTTTTGGCAGTCAGCCCTACGGATTCTGGGGAGGACACCTTGACATTAGTAAGAAGGAGCGCTCCTTTATTAAGGACAGCGACTCTGAGAAGAAATCCCTCACATAAATCAATTACATCCGATAACGCTACTAAAGTAAGAAACGATATCGAAGCTCAAGAATCTATTGAAGGTGACCGTACCGAGGAAACTCAACACGGACCAACGGTAGAAGTCAGTGCTGAGCCAGGTCATGTCAGAATAAACAATAACCCGAAGAGAGTTACCTGGACCAAACAAGAAATGAGGGAATTGATGTGGTGCTACCAGTATTGTAAAGAAAATACAAACGAAAATTATAAAAATGTCTACGAGTTATGGAGAAGACGAAACCCAACTATCAGACCCCACATAGATGCAAAAAAGTTATTAACACAAAAGAACTATATAGTTAAGAACCAAAAGCTAGTTCAAACTGAAATAGATGATATAATAAGAGATGTCAGAGGAACAGTACAAACACATGCTGAAGGAGAAAATCACGAAAACGATGCTAACACAGCAGTCAACGAATATCAACCAGACGAGAGCCCAACCAATGAAGAACACGACGTGGACCTCAGAGATAAATGCAATGTAAGTGCCGACAACTCACTCGAAAAACAGATCATTGAGAATTACAATAAATATAAGATAATGGAGCTCAGCGCACGGAGCAGACTACCAAAAATAAAATTAAACTGCAAAATACGGAGACTAATTGAAGAAGCAAACTTATTCATCAGTAAATTTCTGACCAGCAACAATCTAGATTTTGCCCAACTTGACACATTGGTATACGCAGCGGCTACAGTAATAACAGAAACTGTACTTACAATTAAACCCAAAGACCGAAACAAGTGTAAAAACGGAAAAAAAAACGAATGGAAGAAAAGATTAGCAGACAGAATACAATCACTAAGACAAGACTTGTCGAGACTATCAGATATTAGAGCACTAAGAACAATTTAAAAACAAACAAAGTAATTCAAAAGTACAATATAAGAACACACAATAATTTAAACAATATAAAGGAAGAACTAAAGCAAAAAATAGCTGCCAGAACCCAGAGACTACATAGATACACTAGAAGAGAAAAACAATTCTCAGACAATAAAAGATATGAAGCGGACCCCAAAGGGTTTTATAGATCATTAAGGGAAAAGAAGATCGAAGCTAAAGAATTCCCACAACAAGCAGAAATTGAGTCTTTCTGGACAGACTTATGGAGTAACGAGGTAAAACATAATGAAAAACCAGAATGGCTCCAGCGATTTGAGGATAATTATAAAAACAAGAAAATGGCTTGGCAGAATATAACAGAAAACGAAGTAAGGGAAGCACTCCAAAACTCAGCCAACTGGAAGTCGCCTGGGCCTGATTTGATCCCCAACTTCTGGTTGAAGAATCTTAAATCAATACATGCCAATCTGGCACAGAAATATAACGAAATATTAAAATCAAACACGTTTCCTAAGTGGTTAGCAACTGGGATCACCTACCTATTGCCCAAAAATGACAACACCAAAGAAGCAAAGAATTATAGACCCATAACCTGTCTCTGCACCATTTATAAGAATTTAACAACAATTCTTACAAATAGAATTCAAAAGTATCTGTATGCAAATTCTTTATTGCCTGATGAACAAAAAGGATGCAGTAGAAATACAAAAGGATGCAAAGATCAATTAATATTATCTAAATATTTATTAGACGAATGTAGACAGCGAAAACGGAACATGACCCTAGCTTGGGTGGACTACAAAAAAGCATATGATAGTGTACCCCATTCATGGATCCTAAAAAGCTTGGAGGTAATAGGAGTTCACCCAGTAGTAATAACAGCTTGTAAGAACATGATGAAGCAGTGGAATACAAAGGCTCAATTAAAATTGCCACACGACACTATCATAACCTCGAGTATACAAATAAGACGAGGCATATTTCAGGGCGATGTCCTCTCACCACTTCTGTTCTGTATATCACTCATCCCGATATCCATCGAACTTAACAAAATGCGAGCCGGCTTCGAACTAAATGGCACAAAAATTAACCACCTGTTATAAATGGATGACCTGAAAGTAGTCGGAAAAACTGAAATGGATTTAGAAGAACAGCTGGTAACAGTCAAAAAGGTCAGCGATGATATACAAATGGAGTTTGGGATAGAGAAATGTGCAAAAGCAATATTTAATAGAGGTAAACTACAAAAGAAAAGTAACATCGTTGAAAGTGAGTTTCAATTCCGCCAGTTAGAAGAACAAGAAAACTATAAGTACTTAGGCATAGAGGAAGGAGAGAGGATGGATAGAGGAAGGAGAGAGGATGGATCACAAAAAAATCAAAGATCAACTAAAGAAAGAATACAGAAAACGAGTTCGTATGATCTTAAACACAGAACTAAATAGCAGAAATAAAATAAAAGCAATAAATCAAATGGCCCTCCCAGTTCTACAATATAGTTTTGGTGTAATAAATTGGAGACTGGAAGAAACTAAAGGTCTAGACAGAGGAACAAGAAAACTTCTTACTATGCATAAAATGCAGCATCCTAGAGCTGATGTAGACCGCTTATATGTATCTAGAAAAGAAGGAGGTCGAGGTTTACAACAGATAGAAGCAGCATTCAAAGCAACCATGCTCAATATGAGTGAATATATGTTGAAGAATAATACAAATAGGTTTATAAATGTCATCAAAGAATATGATAAAGAATTACCAAAAATAAGATCAATTACTAAATTAGCAGCAGAACTCAGAACATCTTTAGACCTAGAGTATAACCCAATAGAAAGTGTGGAAAAAAGTAAACGTAAAATAAAATCTAAACTAAGCGCAGCAATCACAACTAACTGGAAAGAAAAAGTCATGCACGGACAATATATAAGGCAAAATGAAGAACAACCAGAAATAAACAAGACGCATACATTCAGCTGGTTAACTAAAGGAAACATAAAAGGGGAAACAGAAAGTTTACTGATAGCAGCTCAAGATCAAGCCATTAACACAAGGTACTTCGCAAAAAATGTGCTGAAACAGACAGTAGATCCGAAATGTCGAATATGTAACACCAAGGACGAAACAATTAGTCACATTCTGTCTAACTGCCCAATATTGGCCAAAAATGAATACATTAAGAGACATGATAATGTAGCAAAGTTAGTACACTACAGCATAAGTAAGGACATTGGAGCTGAAGTGACCAAGAATTGGTACCATCACTGCCCTGAACAAGTGATTGAAAATGAAAACGTAACGGTCCTATGGAACCAACAAATACAAACAGACAGGCACATAACAGCAAATAAACCTGATATAATAATTAAAGATAGACAAAACAACCTGTGTACAATAATAGATATTGCAATTCCAGCCGATAGCAACGCAATTCAAAAAGAGGCAGAAAAATATCTAAAATATAGAGATCTGGCCATAGAAATATCTAGGATGTGGAACATCAAAACCCAGATTATACCGGTTGTCATTGGCGCTACCGGTGCAATTACAAACAGACTAGAGCGTAATTTGAATAAAATTAGGGGAAACCATAATATTATACAGCTCCAAACCAATGCAATACTAGGAAGCGCACACATCATTCGCAGAGTGTTAGGATAGGTGCGACCCAAGGAATACGGTGTATTTTCGGTCCAAACCTAATAAAACCAGTGTACACTTACAACATAAACACTGTGAAACTAAACAATAATAATAATAATAATAATAATAATAATAATAATAATAATAATAATAATAATAATAATAATAATAATAATAATAATAATAATAATAATAATAATAATAATAATAATAATAATAATAATAATAATAATAATAATAATAATAATAATAATAATAATAATAATAATAATAATAATAATAATAATAATAATAATAATAATAATAATAATAATAATAATAATAATAATAATAATAATAATAATAATAATAATAATAATAATAATAATAATAATAATAATAATAATAATAATAATAATAATAATAATAATAATAATAATAATAATAATAATAATAATAATAATAATAATAATAATAATAATAATAATAATAATAATAATAATAATAATAATAATAATAATAATAATAATAATAATAATAATAATAATAATAATAATAATAATAATAATAATAATAATAATAATAATAATAATAATAATAATAATAATAATAATAATAATAATAATAATAATAATAATAATAATAATAATAATAATAATAATAATAATAATAATAATAATAATAATAATAATAATAATAATAATAATAATAATAATAATAATAATAATAATAATAATAATAATAATAATAATAATAATAATAATAATAATAATAATAATAATAATAATAATAATAATAATAATAATAATAATATTAATAATAATAATAATAATAATAATAATAATAATAATAATAATAATAATAATAATAATAATCCTGAGGGGGACACCTCTAACCCCCACCAGGCGCGTCCCCGGGTGGCGGATAGGGGAATGTCCGACCGACCTAGCTGGTGGGTAGGAGATAAACTCCCGCGGACCCCTATAGTATAATAGACCCTGACCTGGGAGTAAACCCGGTTAAAAAAATCCGCAACCCAAGGCGTTATTCGAACCGTGCTGATGGGTGGATGGCTTTGCGCAGTGAGTCAAGAACGGTGACTGCGAGTACCGGGCGACCCTCGTTAGTAATAGCCTTGCGTAGGTAAACCTGCCCTACCTATGTTGACCTATTTTTAGAGCTTACTCGTGGGATTTCTATGGAGATTGATAGAGACACACAACAACTCTCTTCCGGTAGCAGAGATAAAACATCTACCATCTCACAGAGCTAAGAAAAGAGGAGTATTACCCCTCGGTTCTTGGTCGTGAAAAGAACAGATGGAGAAAACTTTTTGTGTTAATAAAAATTTTAAATGGTGTAGTTGGAAACTTAAGAAATATAAGAAAAACCAAGGACGGTTTACTATTAGAAACAATTTCGGGACAACAAGCTAAAAGATTATTACAAATACAAAAACTGGATAACTTCCATGTATCAACTGAACCACATAGATCACTTAACTATGCTAAAGGTGTAATTAGGTGCCAAGACTTATTAAATTGTAGCCTAGAAAAGGTAATAGAAGGATTAGCTTCAGAAGGAGTAATAGATATTAAACGTATAAAGACAAAGAGAGATGGTGAACTCGTCGACACAGCTAACTTAATCCTTACGTTTGATAAACGAAAATTACCTCTGAAAGTTAGAGCTGCATTTTATTCATTAAACGTACGACCTTATATCCCAGATTTCGTCCGCTGTTTTAATTGCCAAAGATTTGGTCATGTATCGCTTGCATGCACGAAACCTAAAATATGTGTATGTGACAAACCACCACATATTGGACACATTTGCGAAAACCCTGTATGTGTTAATTGTAAAGGTGAACACTCTGCAAGATCGAAAAAATGTCCGCGGATGATAAAAGAAATCAATATAAAAACAAAAACTATTGAAAAGATTACCTATGGTGAAGCCAAACGTAAAATAACGATCAGTATGCCCAATTCTGGCACATATTCCAAAAAGTAAAAACGACAAACAATATTGATGTAATTGTTGATACTTTAATTCCAAAAATGACAAAGATAATTGAAAGTCAAATCCAAGAACTATACAAAGCAGTAACAGTTACTCAACCTGCAACACACACTTTTTCGCAACCCATGGTTCCTGACAATGAATTAACAACATTTGATTTAAATAAATGAAAAACTGTTGATGACTCTTTAGAATCTGATGAGAGTAATTTCTCTTCACAAGTGAGCGATACATCAAGAACAGGAAGGAAGAAAAGAAAAGGTTGGCATAAAGGCAGACCGAGAAAATTATCTCTGGACAAATTATCAAACCTTCCTCTTCCTAACCCATCCCCTGTTGATCAACACCCTGTTGATCAACACCCTGTTGATCAACACCCTGTTGATCAATCCCCTTTCCTTTCCCTTTCTCTCCCGCCAAAATAAAAAGAAAAAACGAAGGATAAGAAAAAAACGTGATACTCTAATTACATATTATATTTATTTACAACAACTATTTTTACAAATTCACACTAATTAACTATATTATATATATTTAAAATTTTATACTCAAAATCCGCTGATTTTTTATTTTTAATTTACAATGGAATCAATAATACAATGGAACTGCAATGGATGTTTATCTCACTTAAACGAGTTACAATTAATAAAAAACGAATTTAAACCATTTGGGATTATTTTGCAAAAAACTCATTTTAAAGTTAACTCAAACTTCAATCTTAGAGGCTTCAACATTTTCCGTAAAGATTATAACCCTATACAAAGAGCTTCCGGAGGAGTCGCCATAATGCTTTAAAGCTCCATACCTGCAACACAGGTTAACTTAACTACAAATATTCAAGCTGTAGCAGTATCCATAGAAACACCACTGAAAATAACTCTCTGCAATGTATATCTGCCTGTACACTCTACTATTTTCATACTTATTGTTTAGAATTGAAATTGTACCCAAGTTATCAGTCTCTTTTAAAAATTTGTTACCTAATAAATAAAATCTTAATTTATTTATACTAAATATAATACTTGCTAACTCTAGTTCACCTACACTATAATTTTTCTCGTGTTTTTTAGTAGTCCTGGACACGAAAGATATAGGAACTTCCATATTATCTTGTACTTGTAGAAGTACCCCGCAAATCTTATTAAAGAAGCATCAGTCCTCAAAATAAACTCTTTATTGTATATTGGATGATAAATTTTAATTTTGTCAATGAATAGTTCTTTAATTTTATTAAATGCTTCTTCCCGTTCCTTTTTTTCATTGCCAAATCACCCCTTTTTTTATTATTCTATTAATCTTTTAAAATAATTAATCATTCCTAAAAATCCCCTGAGTGTTTTAAGGTTTATTGGTCGTTTATATTCTTTAATAACTTTAATCCTATCTGGATCCATTTCTATACCTACTGTGTCTAATTTATAACCTAAAAATATTATTTCTGTTTTAAAAAATTGACATTTGTTTATGTTTAGTTTCAGGCCTGCATCGTCAATAGCTTTCATTACTAAGTTCAAATGATTAAGATGTTCATCAGCATTTTTAGAAAAAATAAGGATATCGTCCACATAATGAAGAACAAAATCTTCGTAATTATTAAGGATTCTGTGCAATGCCCTTACTAAACTTGCACATGGACTCTGGATTCCGAATGGTACTACGCAAAATCCATATATTACACCATCTATTGAAAATCCACCCACATAACATCAATGTTCTATGAATATACTAAGAACGTTCTGTTAATGTTCTTTTTAGTATGTCCTTTTTCGTATGTTCTTAGAACATACCTAGTATTATACTTTGAAAGTATATTCTAGAAAGTATATGCTGAGCACGTGCCTTAAAAGTATATTCCAAAACGTATATACTGAGCACGTGCTATAACAGGACATTCTAAGAAGATACTAAAAGTCATATACCCAGGATGTACCTCATATTCTGAGAATGTTCTAAATGCTTGCAGGTAAAAATTGGCACCAAATACATGTAAAAAAAACGTTTATATACATATCTATATGAATTTTTCCCAGATACCGATTTATTAATTGGTTAGCAAACACACTAATGTTTTGGCCAAAAACAACCTTAATAAAAGATAAGAAGAAGAAGAAGAAGAAGAAGAAGAAGAAGAAGAAGAAGAAGAAGAAGAAGAAGAAGAAGAAGAAGAAGAAGAAGAAGAAGAAGAAGAAGAAGAAGAAGAAGAAGAAGAAGAAGAATAAGAAGAAGAAGAAGAAGAATAACATAACCTACAATTCCTACAAATTTCTTTGATCTCGATTGTTTGTAAGAGGTAAGTCAATTAATAAAAATTAATTGCATCGTATGTTCTATATGAAAATAATCAAATTTTACTATATTTATAGTTTTTAGGACCTATAAGTGACGTTAGAGTACAGGATATCCCAAATATTAATTGCCAGTGTGAATTTATTAATATAGTTAATACTAATGGTGGATTTAAACTGAAATACAGTGTTACCAGAATTACATACTTTCTATGAAAAAAAATCCTGTAAGGCCAGATATTGACCTGGAAGAACTAGAAAAGTTAGCTGAAGGAGGACGAAAACTACAAAATGGTGGTAAGTAATTAACAAAAATATATTTAAGCTTTCAGTAAACATCATAATCATTTATGTAACTCTTGTTTTTGTTAGTGGAATGCAATGTACAATTTTTAATGTTTTATGTTCGACAAAAATATTTAAAATATTCCATTAGCTATGTACACTTAATTTGTATATGTACCAAGTTTGTTAATTTTTTTATTTTTTAGATTCAATGAAGATCCAATGGAATCAAGCAAATGAAACTCAAGCCATTGATACAATGAAAAATTAGTTGGTTAAGGCCAAAGGAAGAATTTGTATTAAAAATAAGAATAAGTATGATTTTTTTGAAATAAAGATTTCATTATATACACTTATTCTTTATTGTTCAATATTAATGAAACATCCTGTATTAGGGTGTCTAGTATATGCCTAGCATATGCTATATTTAAATACTAAGCATATACTTAGAACGTACTATTAAATTAAAGTAGATACCTATTGCATACTGTACACATACTCGAGTACATTCTCAGCATCTGCATAGCACGTATAAACAACGTCACGTAGCATATTCTTGGTATATTCTGAGAATGTTCCAAATGCAAATAAAGTATATTCTCAGCATATGCACATTCTTAAAAAGCATATACTGAAAATATGCTAAGAATGTATAATTGTTATCTGGGCAGTGTAATCTCTACAATCTTGATGTAAAGGCATCAGCCAAAAACTATGTTTGAGATCTAGTTTTGTGAATAATTTTGTATTTGTAATCCTACCTAAAATTGCCTCTATTGACATGGGAGCTGTATTGAGGTATTAATATTTTATTTATTGTCCTAGCATCTAAACAAATTCTAATTTCATCATTCTTTTTCTTAACTATTACAATAGGATTGATGAATTGTGTATCAGCATGTTCTATAATACCATCTAATAATAATTTATTTATTTCATCTTTAACTTTATCTTTATATTTATATGGGCTTGGATATGTTTTTGCCTTAAAACTGTTACTATTTCTTATTTCCATTATATGCACATATTGCTTAGCTACCCTCGATTCTTTTGAAATTCTTACTATATTTCATAACTAAATCATTCACTTTACTTAAATACTTTACCTCACAATCTATAATAATATTTTCTTTGAACGTATCATAATCATCATTTATATTATTATTTTTATCACAACAATAAACATTCATATTCTTAACTATTTCTTTACCTATTTAATTTCTCATTCTAAAATCTATCCAATCTCATCAATTTTTATTTTATTACATTCATAATTAATTTACGGCATTATATTTATTGAGTTGATCACTTCCTATAACTACATCTGTTTCCATGTTTGGTACTATTATTAATTGTAAATAGATTTCTTTACCTGCTAGGTTTATTTTTAAATTAATTAATTTGTTAACCTCACATAACTTTTTGTTATTTGCTCCTATTAAAGATAATTTTGAAGTTTTTAATATGACTTTGTAATTCTGGCAATCTGTTAATGATATTTTGATTAATTATTAAAATTTCAGATCCCGTATCGATTTTTATATTTAAATTTAATTTATCTAGTTTGGCTTTTAAAATTATTAGTTCATATTCTGGCTCTTCTTCAAGATTGTCTTTTAAATCAATAAATTCTCTATGATGGTTATACTTACAGATAAATAAATCTTGGTTCAGAGTGCTACTGTCTAAAAATTTTGATTTTGTTGAGATTCAGTATTCTCTTCATTTGTCACATTTGATCGTTCTAGTTGATTACCTAAAATACTGTTTCTCCTATTTTGGTATTGGTTGTCAGTTGATATAAAGTTGACCTGTCTTGGTCGCTCAGAATCATTTACAGAACTAGATCTCTGTCTATGATTACTCTGGTTATAGTCCTGATTATTATAATTATTTTCATGGTAATAATTATTTCTATTACTGTTATAGTTTCTGTTATAGTTATTATTATTTGTATTAGGATAAGTTCTGTTACTGTAGTTATTAAAATTTCTATTAGTTTGATTTATGTGTCTATTTTTATTATTATTATTATTATAATTATTACTATTAGTGTCATGTCTATATTTTCATTATTATTATTATTATTATTATTATTATTATTATTATTATTATTATTATTATTATTATTATTATTATTATTATTATTATTATTATTATTATTATTATTATTATTATTATTATTATTATTATTATTATTATTATTATTATTATTATTATTATTATTATTATTATTATTATTATTATTATTATTATTATTATTATTATTATTATTATTATTATTATTATTATTATTATTATTATTATTATTATTATTATTATTATTATTATTATTATTATTATTATTATTATTATTATTATTATTATTATTATTATTATTATTATTATTATTATTATTATTATTATTATTATTATTATTAT